AAAAGGGTTCCAGAGGAGATCCGGGAAATTACAGGCCAGTCAGTCTGACGTCGATACCGGGTAAATTGGTGGAAACCATTATTAAGGAAAGAATTAGTAGGCACATAGATGAACAAAACCTATTGAGGCAGACTCAGCACGGTTTCTGTAAGGGAAGATCTTGTCTCACTAACCTGTTAGTGTTCTTTGAGGGGGTGAACAAACATGTGGACAAGGGGGATCCAATAGATATTATTTACCTTGACTTCCAGAAAGCTTTTGATAAAGTTCCTCATCAAAGGCTCCTAAGTAAGCTCAAAAATCATGGGATAGAAGGACAAGTCCTTTTATGGATCAAAAACTGGCTAGTTCATAGAAAACAGAGAGTGAGTGTAGGTGGGCAATTTTCTCAGTGGAGGGTGGTAAGCAGTGGGGTACCGCAGGGATCAGTACTTGGTCCACTGCTTTTTAACTTGTTCATTAATGATTTGGAGATGGGAGTAAGCAGTGAAGTGGCTAAATTTGCGGATGATACAAAGTTGTTCAGGGTGGTGAAAACCAGTGAGGATTGTGAGGCACTCCAAGGGGATCTGTCAAGGATGGGCGAGTGGGCGTCAACATGGCAAATGGGGTTCAATGTGGCCAAGTGCAAGGTGATGCACATTGGAGCCAAAAATCCTAAATATAAATACACATTGATGGGGTCTGAACTGGCAGAGACTGAGCAAGAGAGAGATCTTGGAGTTGTAGTGGATAACTCACTGAAAATGTCGAGACAGTGTGTGACTGCAATAAAGAAGGCCAATGCTATGCTGGGGATTATTAGGAAGGGTATTGAAAACAGATCAGCCAATATAATAAGGCCCCTATATAAATCAATGGTGAGACCTCATTTGGAATACTGTGTGCAGTTCTGGGCACCACACCTTAAAAAGGATATTATAGCTTTGGAAAAAGTGCAGAAAAGGGCAACTCGAATGATAAAAGGGTTGGAACACTTTCCCTATGAGGAAAGGTTAAAGTGCTTAGGGCTCTTTAGCTTGGAGAAAAGACGACTGAGGGGTGACATGATCGAGGTTTATAAGATTATGCATGGGAAAGAGCAGGTAAAGAAAGAGGTACTTTTCTCCCTTTCTCACAATACAAGAACTCGTGGGCACTCCATGAAACTGCAGAGCGGTCGGGTTAGAACGGATAAAAGGAAGTACTTCTTCACCCAAAGAGTGATTAACACATGGAATTCACTGCCACAGGAAGTGGTGGGTGCTACAAGCATGGACGGCTTCAAAAGGGAATTAGATAAGCATATGGAGCAGAGGTCCATCAGTGGCTATTAGCCACAAGGTATAGCTAGGGGCTCTGGGGCAAGTGATGCTGTCTTCTTGGTGCTTGGGGGGGGTCAACAGTGGGAGGGCTTCTAATGTCCTGGCCCCACTGCTGGACCTCCTGATGGCACTGGTATTTCTGGCCACTGTGTGACACAGAGTGTTGGACTGGATGGGCCTTTGGCCTGATCCAACATTGGCGTCTCTTATGTTCTTATGTTCTTAAATGGGTACTAAAGATTTAAACTCTTGATTTAGCGTTCAAACATTAGTCTCCTGTGGCCATTTTTTTTAAAAAAGAATGGTGGTTGTACAGCAATGAAGGAGGTGGGATGGCAGAAGGTGGGTGAGTGGGTGGAATGACTTTGATGTGGGTGGAAAAGTAGGCATCAAGGGGGAGCAAAGGGGAGGGAGGAAATTCAATTAAATTGTTGTGCTCTAAAAATCGTTTCAACTTGGAATCGAACTTTTAAAAAAGTCACCACAATAGTGCTCTCAGAAAACAAATGCAAAAACAAAAACAAAAACAACAACCCTGAAGTTCATGGATGCTGAAAGTGACCGAAAACACAAGTGCATAGGCCTTAGTTGCAGTAGGCCTTCGTAAGCTGTGAATGATCCTAAACTTCTTAAAATGTTAAGCTGTGATCCTAAACTAAGCTTTGCACTTGGAAGTAAGCCCCAATGAATTTGGCAGGATCTTCTTCTGAAACAAAGCTCATAGGATTGGGATGCATATATATTTTTAAGCAGAAGACAGAACATTCTTAGTAGGAGGCATTTTAAGAGCTTTTAGGTCTGAAGAGTCGGGTGTCTTCAATTCAATCTTGATTGATAATCTTGATTGTTTGGTTTTTGCTGTTGCTATTTAATAGGTTTCTCGGCCTTTGGCTAAGACCAAGTGTAGTGTGCGTGTACTATGGTATTTTTAAATTGTTTTGATAGGAATAGTATTCATAAGCTGCCATCACTGAAAGAGCAGGGTGCAAATATTTTTTAAAATAATTTTTCAGAGATCACCTAAATACTGTCATTCTCCCAGTCATCCCAGTTCAGCTATGCAACACTTCAGTCCAAACTGCCGTCAAGAGACCAGCATGGGTCTTCCCTTTGTGTGGCTCTTTCAAAGTGAGATAGTTGCTCTTCTCTCAGTTTTTAAAAGTTGTTTCTGTGTAAAAAGCTTGTTTGTTTTGCCCAGAAGATGAAGCTTGCATCAAGGTCAAAGTTACTTATATTTCAAAATTCAGTGGTCAAGTTTTTCTTCTTTGGAAATTGCCTAACCAAGGTTGCGGTCACACGGAGCATTAGCTACGCTACAAAGACGGAAGATAGGCGGATTTTCTGGGCGCGATCAAACCGCAACATCTAGGAAGCATAGAGCTCCCATGGTGAACCCGAGGCTTCCCGCCGAAGATGCGCCGTAAAAAACTAGTACCTCCGAGGTACTAGTTTCCGGAAACCGCGGGGCAAGGGCGGGCGTCTGATCACGTTTCTGGTGGTAGCTCGTGGCATCCAGCGCCCGCCCATGTCCCGTTGCAAAAAGGTTCCCCCCCCCAAGTCTCCACGGGATGTGCACAAGCACCCAACGGTGCATGCGCATACTTCAGTTACAAAAAACCCACAACCCCGCCGCACTGCTTCTTTGCCGCACCGCTTCTTTGCCGAGCCGCAGGATTGACGTATGATCGGCACCTCCCCCGAACCACGGGACGTCGGCTGGATGTTTGATCCAGCGGCCGCATGGTAGTTTGCTCCGGGGCAAACAGCCACACCTCCCCCCCCCCGCGATATCTGGCCCGTGTGGCCGGGGCCCAAGAACCCCTTTTTATAACTCCATTCACCTCTAGAATGTCTTGTGAAACAACTTCCTTCTTTTGGAAGATTTGAAAGCTTAAGTTGTATATTTTGCTTGAAAATGGTGGTAACAATGCACCTAGATTGTTGATCTCAGTCCCATAGCCACAGGGGTGTGCACCCAGCCAAATTAGCCCTGCCTCCTCACTGCCAGTCCTTCCTGGTCCCACCTCTCCCCTCCCTCCCAAACCCACATGAGCTGCCACATCTCTTTTTCACAGCCTCAGGGTCTGGTTGCCTGGTGAAGAAAGAGGCCCAGAGGCTCATACCCAGGATGGGGGGCGGGGGGGGGGGGGACTGGGGTTGTGAGCCTCCAGTCCTCATCTGGCAGGAGGGAATCTGATCTCAGGGAGTGAGAAGAAAGGTGGCAGAAGGCCACAGTGGCTGTGGAAGACCACAAGCCCCCACTGGGCAGGCCAGCCACCTCCACCTCCGCTGGTGGGCTGGCGCCGGTGCCAGTGTTGGTGGGGTGGGCCATTCTCTGCTGAGGTAACCTGTAAACATGTGCTGACTATCACTCTGTTTCCTGATTATTCAATGCATCCAACCCACTACACAACATTAATGTTCCAAAGCCTTTTGTGGAGACTTAATGTGATAGATTATGGTTTAAACGCCATTCTCCTGCAGCAGTTCTTCTTCTTGTGATGCTCTGGAGCTTGCCGGATTTTCTCTTCCTAGCCCATCTCAGTTTTCATTAGGAGATTCTTATCACCTAATTACATTATTTCAATCTGCAGCCTTGTTTCACCATGATTCTACCAATATTTACATTGTGCTCGTCCATGGAATCTCCATGATGGCTTGTTAAATTACAGGTCCCATTTTAACATGTCAGGTACTCAGTCTGAATGGCACCAGATGCTTTTACATGACCACAAATGCTCCATCCTTCCAAGCACAAGCAAACATACTTTATTATTAAGGGATGGCTTGTCTGATTTAATGCCATGAAAAGCATAATGATGTCTGGATTAGGAATCCTTTTTAGAGACTGTTGATAGCACAACCCTTTGTGGTGGGGACTTTTTGCAAACATCATGAAAACCAGAGATCAAAGAAATTAAGAAAACAAACTTCCCTCCTCATTCAGGGACAAAGTTGCTGGATTGAATTGCAACATTTAAGTGAGTCCATGAGAAGACAATGGTTTTATAAGTAAAAGCAAGTAATGAATAACTGCCAGCCTCTCTCTGCATCCTAAATATATGAAAATAAAATTAGGAACTTCCCCACTGTTTCATATGATGGGATCATATCAAAACACATTTTCTGTTGGCCTCTGCAAAAAATTTGGATGGCATTACATTTTTAATAGTGAGGATATCTATTTATTGGAGCTTAATAAATTAATCTTTGTGGTCATCTAATTATTCACTTCCAGTTTTCACAGATCGTTAGGATGCCTGCTTTTTAATTTGCCCATGAAATATGAAGGTTACAGTCTGATCCATGCATTTTCACTCAGAGGCAAATCCCACTAAGTTCAATGGAATTTAGTCCTAAGTAATTGTCTCTAAGACTGCAGCCATAGAAAAAAAGGTCTCCAACACTCCAAACTTATCAAATGACTTTAAAATCACAAGCACTGGGACAAAAGCAAAAGCTCTGAACACATTTCTGTACACACCTTGAGTCTGCAGCTTAAACCGGAGATCCATGAAAAGGAAAGCCAGCAAACAGTTGGAAAGCAAAGCTGAAAGAAACACGTCAAAGTTTGCACAAACTGCCTTTACAGGGACCAGATTTTCTGGGTGCAACACTTCAAAACAGTTCCTTTGCCTCAAGCATAAAATGTGTCTGTGTAGTTCCTCTTAACGCAAAAGGCATGTTACTACTTACCATAGCAGGCAAGTCTTTCACTGAGCAACAGTAACAAAGACAACATGAAGTTGCGTTCCTGCATGTTAGCTTCTCTGTGAGCAGGTATGAGACTGCTGTCATTCTTTCTCAGCTTTACAGTACATGTACATTTCCTGTTTCCTGCATTTGTGGTGGATGTGTAAGATGCCTTAAGGAGATGCATGATTGCTTTTAGGAAGTGATGTAATTCAGTTTGGGCCTGTCAAATGAGCAACGTTTGTGAAAGATTGCTTTTAAGGCACTGATTCTACTGATACACCAGTGAAATTTGTCTGGGAGATTCTTGAAATCCTCCTCTATTTTTCAAGATTGACCATCTCTTTCCCACCATACCATCACACCCAAATACCACTGCCTATCAAAAAATAAAAGAGATTTTCTTACTGCAGCAGAAGTATCATGGACCGGTTTAAATGTAACTCACCAGTGAGAAGCACTTCCAAGAACACACGAGGGATCCATTGTACTTGCTAGTTATAGCTCTTCATGCCACATCAAATCTGTGCTGGAAAGTTGCCCAACCTTCAGACGCTTTGGGGGTTTTCTTCAGTCACATAAACTGCTTCCATAATTTAATAACACGTAGCTTTTGCATCACACCTCTGAGTGTTCAATGGCCTTCAAAAATAATATCTCACTCATTCTCATAACAATTCTAGAAGAGGTAGATGAATATTATTACTCCCATATTGCAGAGGGAAGCAAGAATGACACTAGGGAGGGGCACAAACCAGCTGATGAACTAAAGTTCGTCATGGATTTTGGTCAGTTCATGGTTTGCGAAGTGATGTTTGTCAACTGAAGAAACACCACGAACTTCCATGAATTTTGGTGCACTTCATAGAAGTTTGTGAAGAGCACGAAAAACAGTTTTGCTCTTCATGAAAAACAGCTGAGCTTAGCTGTTTGGTTTAAATAGCCCAGAACCATTTAAACCTTGCTTTCTGCTCCTCATGAAAAGATGCCTGGAGCAGAAAGCAGGGTTTAAATGGTTCAGAGCAATCAGTTGTGTTCATAGACAGACACTGATGGCACACATAGGTCGAATCTACATTTGTCTTTCCCACCGGTGTCCCATCCTTCTGACTCCATCTTCAAAAAAACTGTCTACATTTGCTTTCGTTTTGAAATGTCAACTCCACGAGTATACTTTTGCATGTCTGCATATGTTTATCGCCCTCTTGTGGTGGCTCCATTGTAATTACGCCTCCGCACTGCTTTAAATGAATCTTCTCCAAACAACATTCAAACAAGCATAGAGAAAGACGGCGTCACAGAAGCACGAAACTAATTTAAAAATGCAAATGCAGATTCGACCACAGACACTAAGTAGCAAGTCATGACTCAAAAATCTCAGACTTAATTTTTTTTCTTTTTACTATGTGCCTTTTAGAACTAGGAGATGGTGGTAGCAGATAAGTGGTAAGGGGTGGCTACTGCAAAAAAGCCATCTACTCATAGAGTAAAATTAACATAGATGTGCCCAAACAGCTCACCAAATGATCATCTCCCTGCTTGCAATTGGCAAAGATGGTGTAAATTGAAGTAATGTGTGTTTGAGTGTAAGTAAAAGCAAGCACACACAGAACTGCAGTTTCATTTAAATATTTAAAATATTTATAGGCTTGCTTTTCTGCTAAGCATCTTTGGACCCTTGGTGGTTGCTAAAAGTGCCTTTTTTAGTTACATATAGTTCAGAAAATAGCACCCTATCTGGATTCTGACAATTTAGCCATACACCTGTAACCTCCAGACTGAACTACTGTAACATGATCTGTGTGGGGTTGACCTTATAAATCCATGTTAGACTTGAAGAAATTGTGCTTGGGTCTGTGAAAAAAGAAAGGGGGAAGTGAAAGAGAACTGCCATGATCACTAGGTACCTCCCTATACATCAAGATGAACTTTCTCAGACAAAAATTTGTCTTCCAGCAGATGGCTACCTTTTGCCTGTGGAAATTCATAAAGTTAATTGACAACCTTCCTATAATTACATTTATTCCCTTTTCTATTTTTACCACATTGACCAAAGGAAAACACAAATCTGCTTTTAGAGGTAACTTCTCATTTCTGAGAAACAAGTTCATGATATAGAAGTGAACACTATGTGTGACCCATTCATGCCCTGCATTTGCATGCATATATACAAGTATGGAAATCAACTCCAAGAACCATCCTACGTTCAGAAATACTAACACAAAAAACATTACTCTTCAGACGTCACACATAGCCAGGGTTATCAGAGCATGAAGCACAAAATACACAATGTGGGTATTGCACGCCCCCCAAACCTGAATCAAAACGTGTTGGCTGGCAAAGAGCCAGGGAGTGCAGGCTGAACAAGCTTGTTTGCTGATTGGTAGAAACCCAGGAGGCGGCTAATCTTTCTTGGCTAGGCTGCTGCAGCGATTAATCTTTCTTAAACCATTGCCACTTTTATAGGTCATCACTTACAGTTTCTCAGCTATTATCTCTGAGAAATAGGTCAATGATTCATTTACTGGCCAGCTTGTTAATGGATTTACAATGCTAGTATTAATCTGCTAGCTAACAATTGAGCCAGTTGTTTGTTTATTAGTAGCTGTGTATATCAGGGGGCTTTATTTGACAGTCAGAAAACCAAGCTAGAGGGAACGAAGAGTGACAAAAAAGTGCTAAAGAAGAGGTGACAAATGGCTTAATTTTAACCATGGCAATCAGAATTAAGTTTAATTCCAAGTAAGCATTATTAGTTTGCTGTCAAAATGGCTTAGTAGTCTAATCTCTTTACAGCATGCCGCTAGATGTATTTATTTAGTACATTTTTATCTTGCCCTACCTCAAAAGAGCACAAGGTGGCATACATCAGTCCTCCCTCCTCTATTTTACTCTCACAACCATCTTGTGAGGTAGGTGAGGTGGGGATTTGAACCTGGTTCTCACAGATCCTAATGCAACACTTTAACCACTGCACCAAACTGATACTCTGACTATGAAGGAATTTGGTCATGACTTATTTTGTGCCTGCTTGAACCAGATCCCATCTTCAGCACCTGCTCTCTATGCTAGGCTCATCCTTGGAACAGATAGATACTAAAAAAAAATGTTCTGAATATATGCAAAATGCCTTCCACTAACTACTCATTCATTAACCTCAGCTGCTCCATGGAACAGGGTTTTGAGAACAAGGTTTTTTGAAATTAAGCCACTGAACCAGGTGGAGGCAACCAGATTCCTGGCTCACTAATTTTCAGAGATATGCACAGACATTTCCTGTTGGTTTCCCTCCCCTTTAGTGGAGGGTGTTTAAAATTATTATTCTTTTCTCCTTTATTATAGCTGTTACACCTGTTCATTCCCCCCCCCCTTTTTGTTATTCATTGGTTTTAACAGAAAACACATTTCTGGCTGCAATGAGTGGCAGAAAGAAGAAACAGCAGGCATATAAATGCCTATCAAAACATTCTCTTCACTGGATACAACTGCAGACTCATCTTGGCTGAATCTGCATCTGCTGTGTAAAGCAGTCTCGGTCTGTTGTGGCGCCAATGTACATTGTTACCCTTTCCCTCCCATTCTGGCTTGAGATAAAAGCTTGCTGTCTGCATCAGACCTCACCATGGCAACCGTGGGGGCATGCGGGAGGGAGAGCGCATGAGAGAGGGGGATATCTATGTATCTTACTGCTATGCCATTAAAGGTATTTGAGGGGGGGGGTGGAGTTGTCGCCTGGGGTGCCAGCAGCGCACTGCGCTGTGCAGAGGAAATGGCACATGTGACCCCCCCCTCCGCAGAAAGTAAAGAGGGGTGACCTGGCAAAGGGGAAGCAGAGGGGGGCTGGAAACTGAATGAGCTGGGTAAAAACAACAAAACACCCAGTGGTTGCCGGGCAGAGCATTCTGGGGATTGGCCCAGGAAATAACATGGTTCAAGGTGGGCATGCTTCTAACTCACCAGCAAAGAAACATGATTGGAGAAAAACTGGGGCAGGGGAGGATTTGGCTCCAACTGTCTGCTTATCGTGCACAGCGGCTCAGGGGCAGGGAGAAGCAAACATTCTACCTTGTGAGCTACTGGCATTAAAGTTGTGAGCGAGCAATTTGGCTACTGCACCAATTAGTTTGCTCTTCAGCCATCCTTCCTGAGTTAAGACAAAAATGTGTGAGCCGGAGGCTAAAAAACTGTGAGCTAGCTCACACTAACTCAGCTTAGAGGGAACACTGACCGCCAGCACAGCGGCAGGAAAGACCAATGCAGATTGGACCCTTGTTGGAAGATGACTTTCATACTTCTCTGTTTCCTTCTGACTCTCTTAACATTCTTGCCTCATGCAGACATGAAAAGGAGACAGCAAAGTGCCAGAATAAAAGCCATTTCCAGAGACTACTGTCATGAAACAGAAAATATTAGCTATAAACAATTGTTTCATATTATATATGTATTGATATTCTTAGAGTCATTAATCTGTTTCAGACCCTCATTTTGAAGTTGATCTTTAAAAAGCCTTTCTCCTTTGTTTGTCATAACACTGTCTTTTAAGATGAGAAATTTTCTTTAATGGTTTGTGTGGTGTATCAGGTTGGGCAGAGACATAGGGAATGTGATATCCGCTGTGCTGCTACATAACTTCTTGAGGAGACCTGGAAGTGATATAGGGTAGCTCTAGGAACAGAGTTTCCAGTGGTTACCATAGAGTTTCCAGCGATTCCTAGAGCTTACCCCACATCACCACTGGGTTTCCTCAGAAGTGACAGTGATGCAACTAATGTTGCCATTTGTTAAAATTAAAACTAGGGCTACCAGCAGGAGGCCTCCTGCTATAATGGAAGGCCTGGCAACCCTGGTAGTGCAATGTACCCCTCATCTTACCTTACTAGGAAGGTATAGAACTCAACCTCTTAGTAAGAGCAGTTTCACTTTTGCGTTACATTCCTTTGATACATTTTTGTGTTTATGATAACATTATCATTTGGTTATGTACTTCTGAGTGGCCTTCTCTTCATGATACCTAATACTGAAGAGGAGGGCTTTTGAAGCACCCAGAGGCTCCTTGAGGATTAAAGCACAAGTT